TTAGCGGAGGTGGCATGCCATTGAACTCTATAGGGAGAAATGGTGACTTCTATCTCGATGCAACCACGCTCATCGTGTACAAGAAATTCAGCTCGAAATGGATGGCTTTCGGTCAGCTTCATGGACCAAGAGGTGAAGATGGTCCACGTGGAGAACGTGGATCGATCGGTCCTGAAGGTGAGACTGGAATTAGAGGAGCAAATAGGCAAGGTGGTGACCGCAGTCAAAAAGGTGATCAAGGAATACCTGGTCCAGAAGGTCCCAGAGGTGAAGTTGGAGAACGTGGATTAGTCGGTCCTGAAGGTGAGATTGGACCTAGAGGCGAAGATGGACAAGACGGCCCACAAGGTGAACGTTGTGTGCAAGGTGATCAAGGAGCTGTAGGTCCCGTGGGTCCCCAAGGAACCATCAGTGCAACCGGTCCTCCAGGAAACAGAGGTCCTGTGGGCCCCCAAGGAATCATCTGCCCAGGTCCTTCAGGAGCCAGAGGCCTCGTGGGTCTGCAATCAAATCAGAACCTACCCGATCCATTTCATCTACTACCTCACATTCGGAGAAACGCCTACCTCTACATATACTCTCATCCTAGCACATTTGAATCCGTCAACAGGGTGAGCTGAAAAAGATGCAGAGGGGAAATCTCGTTGACTTGAAGGACAAGATAATCAACGTGAACAGCATCGACATGTTCCGAGACGGTCACTTCTACCTCAACATTTCACAACGCAAGCAAGTTTCCATTAGAGAACGATTCGTCAATCTGTTTCACGACAACATGTCTTCTGCAATGTTCCAAGTAATTCAAGTGGACGCACCTGTCCCTAGAAACATGTCATTGAAGATATTCGACATCGATACTGTCGGAAATTTCAGCTTGGATGCTTTATACGTGTTGTTCACTGCCACCCACATAAGTGGCAACTACTTCACAGGTTCCGGCTATTCATTATTCAACCTACCCGTTTCGTCTTTAGTGAACCAATTATCGGCGGCTTTGGATAAACCTGTGTCGAGCATGACGAATCTCTTGAGTACAAAGTGTGCCACAAGTTACGCTCGGAATTCAGAAGGCCTATTCACTCTGCACGTAAACTCCATTTTGATTCATTCCAACTTGGAAACTGACCCATTTTTCAGGACCAATGGAATCGAAGATTGCGATTAAGCGCATTGGTGGTACTCAATTCTTCAACGGCACTACGTCAAAGTTGTACTGTCATTTGCACTTTGCAGAGAGTTTATCTTCTCACACAATCCAGGGCTGTCCACACAGAACTCATGAGACACTACGATATGTATCACACATGTATAGCACACATGCTACACTACATTCTTGAGGTGAAAATGAAAAATAAAACCTATCTATAGTGATTATCATCACATCACCAGAATGACTGTGATATTGACAGTGGCGAACAACACGTCGGGAGTGAGCAAGGGATTGCACAAACCGAACTTTACTCTAAATGTGAAGGACCTCGATACCCGCGATAAAGTCCTGCATGTTGAATCCGCTCAGTTTGAAGTACACTTTGAGAACATAGACGAGGCAACGAACAAACTCTATGTGGTACATGGTGAAGAAGAAGAGGAAAGACTGTCCATCAAGACGAGAACATACAGCGTTATAGACGATTTGGTGTCTATAATCAATGCCACTCTGAACCGAGCAGGACATGGAGACATTGTGTTTTCCTACTCTCGTCACACCAGCCGCATAAGTGTCTCGTTACCCAGGACTAAAAGGTGCTTGTTGAAGAAGGACTCACCCGGATTGGTGCTGGGTGTGGGTGTCGCTGACCTGCACATTGATATTTGTTTGATATTTATTTATTTGTACCTTTGCAGCACTGCACAGTTTGTACGAGGACTCGGAGATTTATGCAGTGCATGTCTACAGCTTATTTGAATGCGTGCCTACTGCGCAGTACTAGTCCCTTGTATAGTACGCGAGTTGTAGTGCGGGTTAGCATACAGGTGTGAACGCTACGCACTTTTCATGCAAGCTTCCTTCTGGATTCTGTCCTTGCTTTCATGCACGTGTCGCTGGCATACGCGATACGGGCCGGGTTTGTGTATTGGTTTTGAACCATGGTGTTCTTCTTTTCAGTTTTAGTTGTTCTTTGGTTGCTCCGCGAGTTGTTGCTTTGGTTGGAGACAAAGATGGCTTTCCGTTTCAGTAATATAATGTAATGTAACTATAACTGATAGTATACTGTTGAGTGTTGGGATGCGTTAGGACCCCGACACCAATATTTGGCGACCACCCAGTAAAATTTGAATCGTGCATCGTAGTGTGCTGGCTTAGCATGGCCGAGTCCGAAGCCGAAGGGAAATCACCTGGTGCTGGTGGAAGCGCTGAGGCTTTTGGATGGATGAAGCTGGAGACGAGTTACCTAAAGCTTGGCAAGGATTACGGGTATTCTGGCGAGGCACTGGTCTTCTTCGTGGAGCGCAAGCTCACCGAAGCAACCGATAGGAACCAGAGAGCACAAGAGCGTGCAGAGAGAATCGCTGAGAAGGAGCTGGACAGTAGGAAGGAGTTCGAAAAACTCCAGGCCGCGAGTAATAGTGGCAGTAACGACGTGCAGAAGTGCCCCCAGAAGTTGGACGTGCCGAAATGCACCGACAAACAGGACATCCGGCGTTATTTGATAACATTTGAGGCGGTTGTTCAGCAAAATGGCTACGAAAAATCGATATGGTTGTTGGCCCTCCGTTCGGCTGCGATGGGGACAAGGCTTTAACCGGTGCCGGATCATGTCACAACTTATGAAAGCGCTAAAGTTCAAGTGACACGTAGTTTTGGCAAGACTGCCGAGAAGACGTAGTTCGAGCTCTTGTCTCTGCATCAGCAGACGGAGGACACGTTTTTCCGGTACGTAACCCATGTAATGCAACTGGTGCAAGAGTGGGCATCGCTATCTGGAGGGCCGCAGGGCCAGAAGCAGAGCAGTGGGAACAGTGAGATGTTCATGGCAATCGTCCGCCAATTCGTGCTCCAGGGATGCTCGCTTGACCTCCGTGCGTACTTGCTGGAAAACAAGATCGGCGAGAAAACGTTTGAAGAGATCACAGAACTGGGTACAGTGTATCAGGAAGCCCATGGTGTACGTTCTGGGTCCGACCAGAAAACCATGGTGTTGGAGTCCGAGGGTGCATCAGCACGGTCCTTCAAGCTGTCTACTGCCGATGACGAGAACAAGCTCCACAGCATGCCTGTTGCTCAGCGCCGCGAGTATGCGCAAACCAATGGCCTTTGCTATCGTTGCCTGCGGACAGGGCACAGCCGGAGAATGTGTTATAGTAGTATTCCTTGCAGCAAGTGTGGCAACAAACACCATACCCTGCTTCATGATAACAGTAGCAATGGTAGCAGTGATTTCAGCTATAGCAGCAGCAGCAACAGCCACAGCACCTCAGCTGCTACAGGCAATGCCCTTGGCGTCGCCTAGTGTTTGACAGCCGACACAATCTCCCTCTCACGTAGCGATGCAGTGTCAACTGCCACTCTGGAAGACATGGACGAGGCGCACCCCATTGAAGTGCATAGCAGCGACATTTGATCCGCTCGACTTGGTGTCACCGGCAGTATTGACAGGCAAGATCCTCCTGCAAGAGGCCTGGACGGAACAAGGCAAGTGGGATGATCCGCTTCCTTCTCCGCTCGCCCAGCGTATAGCGACAGGCAACGGTTGGACTTGTAAAACCTACACTAGGTTTTGGTGTGGAGGATGTCGCTGACCTTCACATTGATATTTGTTTGATATTTATTTATTTGTACCTTTGCAGCAATGCACAGTTTGTAGGAGGACTCGGAGATTTATGCAGTGCATGTCTACAGCTTATTTTAATGCGTGCCTACTGCGCAGTACCAGTCCCTTGTATAGTACGCGAGTTGTAGTGCGCGTTAGCATACAGGTGTGAACGCTACGCACTTTTCATGCAAGCTACCTTCTGGATTCTGCACTTGCTTTCATGCACGTGTCGCTGGCATACACGATACGGGCCGGGTTTGTGTATTGGTTTTGAACCATGTGGTTCTTCTTTTCAGTTTTAGTTGTTCTTTGGTTGGAGACAAAGATGGCTTTCCGTTTCAGTAGTATAATGTAATGTAAATATAACGGATAGTATTCTGTTGAGTGTTGGGATGCGTTGGGACCCCGACACGAATAGTGGGCACTATTCTCAAGCCATACACGATCGTGGGATCTCACACTTTCCCATTCGCTTTGGATCTGACAAAAGACAGACGACTTGTTCTGCTCTACACCGACCTAATTGGACCTGCTGTGAAGTACGAAGACAACACTGATTCGAGGGTGTTGAAGACCTTTCTCATTCAACCCCTCAATGGTGTAAATAACTATGTGTTTGGAAAAGAAGACAAGCGAATGCTGCTTCCACACGAAAACGTGACTAGAATTTCGTTTTGGTTGAAATTCAACACCGGTGAATACATCACTTCCGGATACCCCGTCTACCTTGATCTTCGAATCACGAATACGACTTAGATGGATCTTCCAGATGTTCGTGTCCGTCACGTGCGAGACATGGTGGAGGATATAGCAAAACGAAAAGAATTGGAGAGCGAAAAAGTGCGTTGCCTGGAGAAGTACATGATTTACAACACCGCAATCTTGTCCTTTCTCATATTCAGTCAAACAATTCTCAACATTCTTCAAGGGAGTGGTGTCGTATCTGGAGAAAATCGCATTCGAATCATCGCCATCAGTAGCACGATCATCGGCGTGATCATGGCATGCATAGGCAAACACGTTCTCGACACCAAACGTCAGCTTATAACGTGTATTGAACAACTGCAGCAGATGGAGAGAGCTGAAGACGCGTACATGTTGGAATTGGGCATCACTCTGGAAGATGGGAAGCTCACTAACGAGGAGCATCAACGATTGATAGCGATAATGAATGACTTTCGCAAGACACTGCATATTGGATCGTTAAAAAAAATCGCCCCTATTATAATGTGACTCGCAAGAATGGCACAGGAGATATACTCACCACAAGCTCCGGAATCCTTCACCGGACTCCTGACCAACACGAAGATCGTTCAGAAGAATATCCTCGACAGGACGGAGAAGAAACTCGCGTTGCTTGAGGGTAGACGCGGAGTACGACTCTTTTCCACAGCAGATCGATCACCACCATCCCTGAACAATGAGCTGGACATCTCGTCACCGAATTGTATTGCTCTGGGGGAGAGCTATTTCATCGTGAAAATGCGCTATACTGTCAAAAACAATCTTGATAATCAACCTGGAGACTACACGCGATGGATGTGCACCACCTCTCCAGCCTTTTAATGGTTCAAGAACATTCCAGTGGAGATCAACGGAACATAATATAGACTTGGACATAGTACCAAGGCCGTTCAACTCTGTGCCGTTGCAGCAAGAGTAACGCGGATTTGTGTGCGAATTGGTATGATCGACATCAGCATGTTTGCTGGCTCTGCTCGAGCTGCTGATGTTGAAGTGCAGAGAGACGCAGCCTCACCGCTCCGGCGTGCGGAGAAAGTCATCTGAGTTCGAGCTGTGGCTGTGTGCACGATATGACAGACTTTCACATTATGCACATAGCCACCAAAGTAAAACTCATGGACACTACCCACGGGCTTGTTCACTAGAACTACTCCATCAGCTCCCTATTCACTGTCGTCGGCGACTTGCCCCTGCGTTAGAGATGAGCAAGCCTGGTGTGGCACTTGTGGTAGTCATGCATTGTACATCACGGCTGTAGTACTGATGTGCACAGTCATGGTAACAGTGCATTGCGTAATGCTCTTGGCCATATGCTGCTGTTGAGCTGGTTTTACAGATGAAGAATCTGAGAGGGACAATGGCTAGTTGTCTATTCTTTCCGTGTGCTTAGTCTGGTTTCTTGCATGCCTACATTGGCGCAGTGAACAGGCACGGATTTGTCGCCATGTCCGCTCCCAAAGGCAGAGCGCCGAAGGAATTTGTACCTGACTTTTCCAGCAACATCGGAGCCGATTTCGAATTGTGGCTCGAGGACGTTGATGATTACCTGAAAATTTGTGGAGTTACGACGGCAGCTGATAAGAAGAGGCTGTTTCTGAACCTTGCAGGCCTCGCTGTCAGGCGTATTGTTAAAGGAATCGTAGTTCCTACTCCACCAGCTCAGGCCGATGGCAGTGCCGGATGTGAGTACAAAGCTCTGACGGATGCTTTGATTGCTCATTTTCGTCCTGCCACAAACACAACGTCGGAGCGCCACCGGTTCCGTCAGCTTCGCCAGAATGAGGGTGAGTCTGTCACATCGTTTGTGGGACGCCTGCGGGAAGCAGCTGATCGCTGTGAATTTGCGTCTACTGCCGTGGACACCATTGATCAGGGACAAATCCGTGAACAGTTGATCGAGGGCCTGCGATCCCAGGAGCTACGTAAAGAACTTCTCAAAGAGTCAAAGTTGACACTAGCCAATGCTGTGAGCAAAGCTGTGACACTCGAGTCCTCTATCACGGACAGCAAGCTTTATGGTGACGCTGCAGCTACTCCATTGTCAAATTCATTCTCTCACATTCACCGTGTTTCACACTCCCAGCCTGCCTCTGCGCACAAGAAGTTTGGGAAGTGCAAGTACTGTGGCCGCTCGCATCCAAGAGGCAAGCAGCATTGCCCTGCAGCGGATGCTACTTGTGGCAACTGCTCGAAAGTCGGCCACTTTACAACAGTATGCCTGTCGCGCAAGTCTGATAATGCGCGCATGACATCCTGTGGAATATTGCATGCTTGTCAATAGTGCATGCTTGTTAGAGATTGCATGCTTGTCAGATATTGCATGCTTGTTAGATAATGCATGCTTGTTAGAGATTGCATGCTTTTTAGATATTGCATGAATAAGAGTATTGTCACAAACTAATGGTTCGCACCAAGCATACATACAAGCACACAAGCAATTGATTATACAGTCTTCTTTCTTCTTTCTATCGTGTCTTCTAAAGTATTTTACTCACCTTTTGCGCCATGGGACGCCTACGACGTTCCCATGGTCTTCACGTACGACATACGGTTTTCTAGCCCTTTTTCCTGGAGCTTGTCTCCTCGTGTCGTTTCTGTTTCATTGGTTTTACGTTGTCTAATGATAAGCAACAGTTTGTTTGAGTCTAAGAGAACCCAAGATGCGCTCGCGTTGAGCCAAAGCAGCCTTACAAGATACCCTTTTGTAAACATCCGAACAGGTGGAGGAGGATGACGCCAACTATTTCTGTGATTACGCATTCTCAGTGGATACTTCTCAGCACCAGCAATTGTTTCGTAAGACGCTGATCGTCAACGGCCGTCCCTGTGAAGGACTACTGGATACCAGTGCTACCCGATCAGTGCTAACCGATGATGTTGTCCAGCCAACGCGAAAGAGTGATCGAATCTTGAAAGCGGACAATGGCGGCGTCATCTCGACACTCGGTATGGCTGATGTGACGGTCTCTGTTGGATCACGCAGCATCGTATGTAGTTGTTTTGTTGTCCCAGTCGCGTCTGGCCGCCAAATCCTGTATGGCCAGGACGTCATCTCCGAACTGGAGTTGCTGACCTCTGCTGAAGTCAATGTGGTGAACGTGACGCCCATCTCTATCACAGTGGACCCTGACACCACTCCAGCCGCACTCCCACCCCGTCGGCACGCTTTCAGCATCCGGGATGAAATTGCCAAGGAGTTGGATCGTCTGGTGAAGCATGAGATAATCGAGCCAGTGCGAGAAGCTACTCCGTGGGTCTCATCGTTGGTGCCGGTCAGGAAATCAAGCGGTGCTTTGTGTCTCTGCGTGGACTACCACGTCCTAAACAAGAGCGTAGTCCGGGAGCGTCACCTAATTCCCACCGTTGACGAAATCAATGCGCAGCTGGACGGTGCAACAGTGTTCTCCGTTCTGGATGCTGAATCTGGCTTTCACCAGCTCCCTTTGGCCGATGAATCTCGTCCGTTCACAACTTTCGCCACTCACAAGGGCCTCTTTAGATTCAAGAGACTCCGGTTTGGCATTGCTTGCGCACCGGAGATATTTCAACGTGTGGTGTCTGACATCCTTGCCGGCCTACCGGGAGTCGTTGTCTATATTGATGACATTCTCATCTATGCCCGCAACCGACAGGAACACGACGAGCGCATGGCTGCCGTACTCCGTCGTTTGAGCGAAGCCAACCTGCGCTTAAACTGGGAGAAGTGTCGCGTACGCCAGTCAGAAATCAAGTACTTGGGACACTGGCTGAGCAAGGATGGTGTGCGTCCTGACGGTGACAAGCTGCTGGCAATCCAACAGTTGCAGCTGCCGCAGACGTTGACAGATGTACGTCGTTTCCTTGGTATGGTGACGTACCTTGGTAAATTCATACCGCAGCTCTCACAGACAACTGAGCCGCTGAGGAAACTGGCTCAGCGACAACCATTCGTCGTTGATGATGAGCTGACGGCCGCGTTCACCGATGCGAAGACAGCCGTGGCCTCGTCGCTAGAGTGCTTAGCGTACTTTAAGCCATCCTTGGACGTCCCAACCAAGGTAACATGTGACGCATCTCCACTTGGTCTGGGTGCTATTCTGTGGCAGCGAGACAAGAGTGGCACTTGGTTACCTGTCACCTGCGCCAGCCGTTCATCGTCCGATGTTGAATCTCGTTATTCCCAGTTGGAGCGCGAGATGCTTGGTATTCTCTCTGACTCAATTCCGACAGTACGTCCTGGGGAGATCTGTTCAAGTTGTGACCGACCACAAGCCCCTGATCTTAATCGTCCAGAAGCTGTTTGACGAAGTACCACCACGGCTGCAGCGCTGGATGGTCGCTCTCATGCCATACCAGTACACCTTGTCACATGCACCTGGGAAGCAGATGGTGTGTGAAGACACATTGTCAAGAGCGCCTGTCCAAGACTCAACTGCCTCACCAGAGGAAGCCCGCTCTATGGCTGAGTTCATTGGCCTGGTCTTGGAAGAGTGCCCAGTCAATATCGACGATATCGCCAAGGCGACTAGTGATGACCCACTGTTGCGCATCATACAGCAGCGCGTCTTGATGCAATCATGGTCCCAAGTCACACCCGCTGAAGAGCCATACTACCTTATCCGAGATCAGCTGACAACCATTGACGGCATCCTGCTATTCGGTAACCGCTGTGTAATACCAGAAGCTCTTCGACATGCCGTACTGCAGTTGGCCCATGAAGGTCATCCAGGTCGGGACATATTCAAGAATGCTTTGCGACGACGAGTATGGTGGACCGACATGTCTAAAGATGCCGACAAGTTCGCCGAGCAGTGTTCAGAGTGTTGGCGCCACCATACAAACCCCGCACAAGAGCTGCTGCCATCAGAAATTGAAGGAGTGTGGCAGAAACTGGCGGTTGATCTGGTGTGTATCGAGGGTCAACAAGTATTATCCATCGTCGACTACGGTTCACGCTATCCGGAGCTACTTCCCTTGTCAGCTACCACAACCGCAGCTGTCATTGGCCGGCTGATGGAAGTGTTCGCCAGGTTCGGCCTGCCTAGCGTGTTGGTGTCCGACAATGGCCCCCAGTTTGCCTCAGCCGAAATGGCCAAGTTCCTGCAGCGGTTGGGTATCCAGCACAATCGATCAAGCCCACGCTACCCCAGATCTAATGGCATGGTGGAACGTCTTCATCGAGTCGTCAAAGAGAGAATTCAATCTCTACGACCGTCCCCGTCTTTGCAACGCCGTTTGCAACAAGTTCTCTTTGATATTCGCAACTCAGTGCACCGAATGCTGGGCATGTCACCCAATGAGGCTTTCTTCGGTCGCATGGTTCACACCCGTCTACCTCACCATTCTACCCCACGCATTGTGAATGCTTCTCATCAGATTCGCGCCAAAGCTGACATGGCAGTCTCGCATGATAGTCGCCGCGGTGTCCGCCAGTTGCCTATGCTGCGTCCCGGCACAATGGTAGTCTTGCAGGATGGCTATTCCGACCCAACTACCCCTTGGCGTGTTGTGGAGCAATATGGCAGACAAGTCGGCGTCACTGATGGCAGGCGGATACTGCTCCGAAATCGGCAGCATGTGCGAGAACATGCTTCACCTGCGTCATCAACTGCCACCTCTTCTCGGTCTTTGGATCTCCAGCCAGTTCTGACGCCAGATCCCCAGCCAGCTACAGAGTCAGAAGTGAAATCCTCGGCACCTAATGCAGATGTGCCGCCTGCTACGCCTACTGCTCCGTGTGAAGCAGGAGTGAAATCTGAGATCATAGAGGCCGATGCTCAGATTCATCCCGAGTCCAGTGACCAATCACGTCGTCAATCACGCCTACCACGGCCCGATGCCCAGTCTGGCTCGCTCTATCGCGAGGGCTATGTAACCCGCGCTGGCCGCACTGTCAAGCTCACTGAGAAAGCTGCTGGTGCATTGATGTAATATCTCCATTTTGACTGACCATGTTGCATAACTATGCCAATTTGCGATTTAGTTGCTGGTTTGGTTTGTTATGTTTGTATCGTGTTACAGGTTTGATGTATCTTTAGTGAGTTGACCCGTCAGTGTCAGGGTGTATCGAATTTGTTGCTTTGAATTGATTCTTTGCTCGTTTCCTCTACAATTTTATTGTTATTTTCTTGTCTGCAATTTTCTCCTTTTTTCTTTTTTCTTTTCCTTTTTTTCTCTCCTTTTTTTCTCAAACAGGTTTGCATTTGCAGACAATTTTTTTCTTAGGGAAGGGGGGTAATGTGGTAGTCATGCATTGTACATCACGGCTGTAGTACTGATGTGCACAGTCATGGTAACAGTGCATTGCGTAATGCTCTTGGCCATATGCTGCTGTTGAGCTGGTTTTACAGATGAAGAATCTGAGAGACACAATGGCTAGTTGTCTATTCTTTCCGTGTGCTTAGTCTGGCTTCTTGCATGCCTACAGCACTCACTCTGGGAAACAGAGGTTCATCACTCATCCACTAGGACGCATGAAATGTTGGGCACGATGACTGTACACTCGAGGAAGTGGTGCCCTTCTTAGTTCTAGGAGCATCAGGGTTCTGCATAGAGAAGTGTTCTCTACATCGAAAGAGGAGAGAAGGTAGAGAAAATAAAAATAAATTCAATCCACAGTAATCCGAAACCTTTATCCACTGAACGCGGAAAACGTACCGCTCCAACAACTCCTTCTTTTTCCAGACAGATACGCACCCTCATTCAGCAGAAAACTGTTCAGTTCATTCACACACCATTCTTCCTTTGACAGTTCGTCCACGGGTGCCACAGCCATCGATGGCAAACCACTCGACACTCTCTCCTTCATCTCCAAAATGCTCAACAACTGATACTCCGCACAAAAATCGAAGAGGATGCCCCGTCTCGGATCACGTGACCGTTATTGTGCAAAGGGTCTATTGGCACATCACAATCAGTGCTACAATGGGTACTGTTTAGAACACTGAACTTGATCTGATGTGCAAGTATAGTAGAACACTGGTGTTGGGTTATGACGTAATGTCGTAGAACTTTAGCTCTACTGTGTATGCACGCACGCATTTCTTTGAGAGTCTTCTCTGTCGATTACAGATTGTATTTTCCCAGTTTTTTCTACTTCGTGTATTCTAACCAATAAACTACTTGTCTCTTGTCTACCGAACCTAACATCTTCTCAGCCGAATTTGGTTGGTTCACTTTGCAGTGGCGTTCTTTCTTGTCCTGAACAAAACCAATCTACCAACCCACACTGGAGGAAACTCGTTTATGGCATTGATGCGCCGTTTTTTGTGTTCATTGAAAGCATCTGGGCTGAGCTTATGAATTGGCTCTCAGTGGCAGCAGAGGGTTGGGTGTATTTTTGAGGCTATTTTTAAGTTCTTACCCTATACCTCACACCCTCAAACTTATCCCAGACAACAACGACCTTTTTGGGAGACAGTGTGCTGCTTTGAGTAATTTGTATTGTAATGCAAATGTTCAACAAGCTTGAAAGCAATGCCACACCGTTGCTTACAACTAGCTCGCGAATCCCTGCACTACAATTAGGATAGTTGTAAAGTGAAATACCAAGCTATGTACAGCAGCTGGCTGATGGGGAGCCATAGCTGACTTGAAATGAGCAGGAACAAGTGAAGCCAATGGCCGGATAGGAGGAGCAGAGCTAAATGTTCCAATCTACGATATGGAAGATGATGTGATGTGAGAAATGGGGGGTGAACACCTAGCATGAGCTAGAAGCATTGCAACTGCCATTAGAGAAACTTTCCCAGATCCATCACAGCAGTACAAAGGATTTGAAGATGCCAGAGACGATGAAGAAGAGCCGTTTTGGCCTGGTTGACAGGGCGCTTACAGGCAATATCTGTCTGTCTGTCTCTCTGTCTCTCTCTCTCTCTCTCTATCTATCTGATTCGCGCGTACGCGAACACACACACATAATTGTACCATGTATTTTAAATTTGATGTGCTGACTGCAGAATATACAATGTACTTATAATAATATCGTGTCCAAGAGAGAGACATGAAAGTGATCGAGTGTTAGACTTTTATATGGCGGATTATTGGCCTATTGTTGTTTGAGAAGTGAACGGTGTGTAAGATACACACTCGTGCACACACAAGTGCATACAGCACACACACACATGCACGCGCGCGCACGCACACACACACCTGCATTCAAGACTGACGTCATGTGCTATGTTTTGCTGCGTAATCACAAATGACACCAGCCCATTTTGCTCAAAAGAAAAACAAATCTTGCTTGCCCTGTTGTGCTCTTCCAGACAACGGATCATTCTTCAGCAGTGTTTCTTTTTGGTGCTCTTCCAGACAACGGATCGTGCTTCAGCAGTGTATATTTTCCGTTCGTAGCTTTGCTGCCAGCCTGAGTGTCACCTTGATATTTTATTTCTTCAGTATGTCTGACCTAACTGTCGACACTGTCAAGGCAATGCATTGCCAAGCCCTCCGAGGCCAGCTTTCTCAGCGCAGCTTGAATCCGAAAGGAAACTGAGTAAAAGTATTTTACAGGACCGTTTGCTGGCACAGCCAGCCCTTGGTAGTCAGGTATGCTCCGGCCAGGAGAACCAGCAACATGACAGTGCGGACACGGCTCGCGTGCCCAGAAACCCCGACTGGCACCAATGCCTCCTCCGCCAGCTCAGGTCATGCGAGCTCGACGGATCTCTGCGCTCTCGTAAGGGACGAGGTGTAGTCGGCTTTGTCGACCGCCAACACTTCCGGCTCAACGTTCTGGCTGGTGCGCAGCCCGAATAACGATGGCAAGCTAAATATCGTTGAGTCGGATGACGCAAAGCAGGTGCGTCACAAGGTTCACGATATTGCTACCCGGCTCGGGGCATGGACCGCATACATGTCTGTTATCACGGCTGCTGCCCCACACCGCACTGCTGATCTACTGAACTGATTGCTTACCAGCAGTTGATCCTGACTACTAACCGCCAGTTCTTCCCAAGCGCGTGGCTAGAGTACGACCGCCAGCTGCGGATGCTCGTGGCCCAGTAACCAGGCACGAAGAGGTTGAACACCGTCGACATGAACCTATGGCTGATAGCTTTCACAGGCCATGCACACCTAAAACGTGCTCAATGTAAGACGCTGCTTTCCGTCCCCAATCTCAATTCCCCAAGCCAGCAGCATGTACCTCAAATGGTCGCACCCATACCAGCGACGGCCACGAAATCTGCCGCAACGTCAACAGAGGTCGCTGTTCTTCATCGTCGTGCGGCTTCTCCCACACCTGCAGTCAGTGTGGCAAGGTTGCACCCATACATCAGGTGCAACCAGCAGCAGGGCAGAGCCA